CAGTTGACGAGTTGAGTACGGCCGGACTAGCAATTATCAACAATAAATGCGGGACTGCTAATTATGATAGGTATACAGTTCGTGACCTATCTGATGAAAGGTCACGAACTGTGAACTTAAATCGCTGTAGCGCACGATACGGCCACCCCGCATCCACGGAAGTTATACTGCGTTAAATATAGGACCGAGCTTCAAAACAAGGCGTATTTTTGCTTATAAAATATTATTTATTGACTAAGAAATAACTTATTTTAGGAAAAACTACCAAATCAAAAAAATTGACTGTATGACGCATAACAACAGCATCATATAAATGCTGCACCTGTTTTGTGTCCACCACCCTCATCTGTCTCTGACGCCGAGTTCGCAGGGAAATCTGAAACGTCAGACGAGTAGTATTCTTGTTCCTACGATCGCGTCCCCGCCATCTTTCCCACCGCGTAGTCTGTTTTAAAACTGTAGAGCAGACGAGCGCTGACCACAGTCTTCATAGTGAGACTGCAAACACTTCCAGAGGCGGTAGCATACACTCCGCTTGCACTGTGTGGGGCGGGTTAACTCCTCCCAACACGGACTGGTCGATGGCACAGAGGAACCGATGTGACCAGGAGTCGACCACCGAGAACCTTTCAGCGTCATGCGACAGGAAGCCTGTTAGCCGCGCTCTTATCCTATTTCTTCACTCCCCCCCACTTCGCGTGTCGATAATCTGGAAGACGGAACAACTTCAAGCGCACACATGCCTAACTCAGTCCGCATGTTTTGCCGCCATTAGGCAAGACTTAAAGACCGGTCTGCACCGAATCGAGCATCGGTGATGTCAAAACGCTGCTTGAAAGGTTCAAATCTCAACCCCACCCAATATGGCCTGCCTTAACACCGCTGACGAAAACATCGCCAATACGTTCCTATCTCCCCTATGGCAATGTATGACACACAGTTCTCACTAATACTGATACCTCGAGAGTTTGATAAACGCCATTTGAAAGATATTTTAGGTCGTTGGAATAAGATATTTTCTATCCGATGTACGCATAAGACTGACTGAGACCTAGAGAGACTGGCTGTTGGTCTCGCTTTATCATGCTTCCTTTCTTCTGTATGACTACTGGGTGGGGTTTGCTCGGCTTGATAGACGTGTTCTGGAGTAGGCGAACTCCAAACTGCAGATTTCCATTGTAACTAGGTACAGAGAACGGATATACAATATCCAGCGTGGTCGCCGGGTCCTGAACCCTAGGTTACGACGCTTTGTAGTGGTACCTAATAGTCACGAAACAACTGACCCTGTCGCTATCTCAGCACCAAAGTATTTAACTTGAGCAGGAGTGCCGACTTATGTCGCATGACAGCGTCTAGGACCGGAACACGGTATACGTACAGTAGGTGGGTTAACTCATGAAATGTCAACCGAAATTCCCAAATGCGTTTTTGTTCCGAAAAGATTAATTAAGTAGGGTTGTAAAACTAATCAGTCTGCAGTATAATTCTGTAATAATTCAGTTACCTCATGATGTTGGCTTTCGAAGAACTTCCTTCCGGCTGCATACAAAAACTATACTCTGTTAAAATGACTACTTAAATGGCATGCATTTTTCCCATTGATTTTCGATGCCCCTAAAAGTCCAGTTATATTTCACGGAAAACATGTACATAAATATTCATTCCTCCGCTCATTCGGTAGAAAATTACGTCTTCTTCCAACTTGATACGCGAAGGAAGGGTATAATTTGGTTTTCAAAAACTTTTCCAATTCCCGAACAATTTTTAACCCCGACCCGTCGTTACACTTGCATTCGGGGTTTCTAAACTACAAGCCGTATGTTTTCCGCGTACGGAAAACCATACATTTCTCTACGGTATTAAGAAGAGGCCATATGGTGTTCGTAAAATTTAGCAGAGGATTTGAGCCATATTGTTAGACTTACAAGCCACTTTGGTAAATGCAGAGACATGACATTTTATGAACGGCCATTTCACGGTATTGAAAAATCTCACAATTAGAAACTTTTTTAAAATCAAATTATACCCTTCCTTCGAGTATAAAATTGGAGGAACACCTCATTTTCTACCGAACGAGTAGAAGGATGAATACTTTTATGCATGTTTTCCGTGAAATATAATTGGACATTTAGGGGCATCGGAAATCAATGAGAAAAATGCATGCTACTTAAGTAGTCGTTTTTTTACAGGGTATAGTTTTTGCATGCAGCCGGGAAGAAGTTCGTTCGAAAGTCGGCATCCTGGGGTAACTGAATTACTATAGAATTACGCTGAATGATGATTAGTTTTACAACGCACTTAAATAATCTTTTCGAAACGAAAATGCATTTCGTAATTTCGGTTGACATTTCATGAGTTAGCCCACCTACTGTACGGTAGAGGGTGCCAAAGTGTTGATGGTTTTCCTCCGTTTTTTCCCCGTGGGCACGTACGGGGACAACGGCCGACGGATGTGTTTGGGTATTCATTCCTTGCCAGTTGGTCCCGAAGATGCCGTAATCCTCGTACTCGCCCCCTCCGGTTCACTGCAATGCATTTCTACGCTTTAGAAAAGTACTCTAACACAGCCGCGTTTATGCACAATCGGGTGAC